AAAAATGTCACAGTATCGATCATAATCCTGAATTTATCAGCAGAAATCCATGTTTTGAAGTCAGCCAATCAGCGTCGTTCAGCAATTCAGCATTCAGTAAAAAAATTCAGCGTTTTAGTATTACCCCTAACTTCTTACAACGGCAAGCATGTGCTAATATAATCTAACTTTTGCGCCTAGCTTCCCTGAACGCGCTTATTTGCCTTCGATTATATGAGTCATTAACTATTAGGCCACATACTACAAAGATATTGTGATTATTACGTAAAAAATAAGTTTGTTTGGAGTTTCGAAAATAATTTCTAAACTGTTGCTATACAAATCTAGATGGGGCTACAGATATAGAATAATTCAAATGGTTTAAGACTTGTCAATCAAATTTAAGATGAATCATTCGCTCTCATAACAACCATTCCGTATAGTATGATAAAGAATGTATTAAAAAAATTAGTGACATTGCACTAAAAAAAGTACTCGGCCCATAATTGTTGAATGAAATGAGATAGCTATACTGTAACTGAAGCACTGCCGATATATATATATATATATATGTCGCCTTTAAAGACTATAAGGTCAATTACTCGTGTAAATCACATAGTGGTTATAAGCCAGTAAAGCGGATTTTTCTTTCTTAAAGGGGTATACATTCGTTTCTTCATTCTACTTCAAACGACTTTCTTTCGCACTATCACAGAAAAATTCTGTTTAATATTCCCGCCCCTAATATTGAACTTCTCCTGGCGGCCACCGAATACCCATATTTTCGATTGCAGTAAACTTGTACCGTAATGCGATCACAACAGTGCAAGTATGGGCAATTGCAGCACAAGTATTTAAAAAGTTGACGATACGGGTACACGTGTGCTGCGATAGAGACACGTGATGTTCAACATCTTTTCTCCTTGAATTGGAAAATTATGACTTAGTTTTAGATTTATACAGTGCTATACTGTATCAATATTTTTAATGCGCAAAAGAACACATTAGAATATGTTCGATATTTAAGATCGTGTAAGAATGGTACTGGAATCCAATCATGCCAATGTGTTGTTTTCGTTTGTTCGTTCAATATCGAAATCAGTCGAACCACATCAAGTACTTTCATTAAATAAGGTTGTTTTTCTAGTGAGCATTCAACAATTATTCAGTTTCCTGTAATATTTTTCAGCGAGCAAATACATTGTTAACCAGTTTATTGAAAAAAATTCGTGAAAGCGTTCAACATTCAACTTTAACGGTTGATCATCGAACAGAAAATATTATTATCGCATTAGCTATTCTAATAGTGGAAGCAAATGACCGATTAAAAGTAATAAATATTGATATTATGATCATTCATATGTTCAACAATGTCTATCCTTCTAGCTAAAATCAGAAATAACCAAAGTTCTCCTAGATTTTTATCAAAAATTGCCAACAGCCAAGTATTATGAAATACCACCATCAACCTATAAACACCGTAAATATTCTATTGATAAAATTTTGTGTGATAAGAATAATATTATTTTTAAATATCCTGGCTTTGATTGGCAAATAATGTTTTATCCATTCATACGATTCAAATTGTGATAGCTTTGAATCGATTTGACTAGCATTCATGTTTCATTTTTTTTTAGTGTCATTAAGCATTATGTATTTTATTATGTTTTTTTAATTCTAGCCTTGCCACCTGCCGAAACGTTTAGTTTTTGTATTCATACAGCCTTAACAGAATTAGCATCGCTAACAGATGACACAAAATTAAGCGATATTGTATATAGAATCGTGATTTTGAGAAAAAATTGTCAACATTTATTTTTATTTTAGATTCTTTCAGCAATTACAGATGTGATAAAACAATTTGTTCAACGTATTGTTGATTCTGCTAACAGTCAAATAGCAACTACAAAAGGTAGAAAATAAAAAAATTTCTCATGATTTTTAATATTTTATTGTTTTAATTTAGAGAGACAAAAATCTATTTATCGTTATGATATACCATTTTTATTTGGAGCATTACGTTCAATTGGACGGTACGTATAAATTGTATTATATATTTATTATAATATATATTTCAAATTTATTTCAAAGACTATCGGCTACTGATCAAACATTATTATCTCAATTATATCCCATCAATTTTTTACCTCCTACTCAATCAGTTTATATCGAACAATGTTCCACGTCCTCATCAACAACGAATACAACAAATAAAAAAGATAAAATTAAACAACAAGACTTGAAAATTCCAACAATTGCCTTTCGTCCAATTATTCCAAAAGCATTATCTAGGAATGTTTTATCATCCAATGACAGTCAACATTCATCATCGCTAACAAATATTGAACAAGAGTATTTTTCGTCTACAATGCCAACAGCTTATAATCATTTAGCATCAACATATCGATCGTTAGCGTAAGTATTATTATACACACTACGAAAAGATATTCAAGCACGAACAAGTTACATTTTTCAGAAATCTTTCACTTCATTCTAAACCAACGTATGTAAGCTTAGTTTTTCTTCATGATAAAAACAACTTATGTATAGTTCAGCTTCATATTGATGTATAAATCAATCTTCTTATCAAATAGACATGCATTTCAAGTTGCCATTGCTCTACTAAGATTGAACACAAAGATTATGCTCACCATTTTTCTTTCTTTGTATACGATTATTGACATTTGTTTTCGCTGCTATTATAGTTTCTTCAGTTTTTGTATTATTTACTATCGAAGAGCACAAATAGCTATTTGCCAGTAAAAACGTAGATCAGTATAAAGTAACAGATAGGCCATAAAGAGTTAGGCACTTTGTATTAGGATCATAAACTATTGGTGTTTACATTCTACAAGAGCCAATTTATTTTTTAACGGATGTACCTTGAAATTTTCCACAAAAAGACTTTAATGCAACCGAAAGAAAATTACACGGAAAATAAGTTCCAACATGGTCAAATTTCAGTGAATTCAAACACTTTTTGAATGCTTACGCGGATATAAAGTGAACTGTTATTTTATTGCACAGTTGTATCTGTCGTTATAATGTATCGCTGCTACTATACTGTTGTTCGCAATCTTAGAAGAAACTGACTCCTCTGAGAATCACAGAATACTTGGAGTGTTTATACATCAGAATAGGTTGTCTGTTGGTGTCAACTCTGGTTTCTCTCATATTTTATGAGAAATTTCATCCAATCCTAGTGTAAATAATATAAAGGGAAACTTGATTACAATTCAGTAATTTTAATAAGAAAAATTATTCTTTTTATTTATCATAGTGAAAGAAAGACAAGTCAACACATTTTTGTAGAGAATTTGAAAAATAAATTGGCTCTTGCGGGATGTAAAGATAATTACTTTATGATCACAGTACAAAGCGACTGACCCTTTATGGTTCACCTTTTAGTCTGTTTCTCTTTTTTGAGATTATAAGCTAGTTAAATTATTCAATATACATCTCTGTGGGTCGTGTGATAAACACGCTCGTATTTTAAAGTACTTGTTACTATCGATGTCATAGTTCTTGTCTCTTTTAGTTCTATGGATAATGCTGATATTACATTACTTGAAGATGATTTGCCACCATCGGCTGTCTATTTTTCTGTAATTGGTTCAACATATCGTCGAAGTCAAAAATGCAATCTATCATCATCGCTATCGAGATTACACCAATCGAACTATAATAGATTTCATGCTTGTGTTAGTGTACAAGTATTAGAGAATTTTCTTACCGTAAGTAACACTAAGTAACATAGCAATGGAATCTTTTTATCTAATGTTTTGTTTGTAGATATTAAAAGCGATTAATGTTAATGTTGTGCGATATTTGGACAATATAGCAAAAGAAGTTTATTCTGTATGTGATAAATCGCGATTCATTCATTATTTATCAATTATGGTCTGTTTCATTATCATTTCAGACCAAGTCTGCTCGACATTTTCCCTATGAATTCTTTGGAGATGTATTAATTTTGTGCACAATCAAATTCTTTCGAGATAATCTTGAATTATTAGACAGACTCAACGGTAAATCCATAACATTGAGTGTATAATTGGAGATTGTATAAATTTTGATGCCAGGAAGTAGAGTTAGTTTTAGTTTTTGAAGCTGTGAAGAAGGTAGTAGAAGTTGACTAGTAGAAATAAAACAAAACTTTTGTCTCAAAGTAAAACAATTGTTTTGAAAGAAAAGAGGGATGGTTTGATTTTTAGTCGTATACTAGAAATACATTGTAAATGTGCTGTGTTAATAAATAAGAAGAAATTAACTTTTCACTAATAGATTCTTTATCGCTAAAAGACTATGGTAGATTTTCTAAGCAAGATGTCTGAGTATAACTCAAATTTTAATGACTTGAATTTGTATATTTGTACATATGATCAAATTTTATACAGCTAAACACCGTAAACACGATATGGGTAAGTTCTAAACGTTTAAAGCTGAAACATATACTTAATTTTAACTTCTTAATATAGGCTAAATTAACTTTTGTAACAGGTTAACTACTATAGTTTGTTTTTATTTATTATCTTTGCTTGTCTGATGACTCTAACATAGAGTAATTTAGATATTATATTAAAAATTAAGTATTTGATAATCACATGTTCATCTGTCTTATTGTTTTAGAACATTTGGCATCCGTTACAAAGACAACATATATGTTTGTTCAACAATTGATCGTTTTCAAATTGTTAGATCTAGAAAATGATGAATATGAAAAATTACCAAGTCGTTATCGTACAAGAGTTGATGCGGATGCAGCTGCACTCGAATTACTTTGTTTATCGTGTGATGATGAAACAGGTAAAATCGTTGAATATTGTACTAAGTTGTTCATAAAAAGATAAAAGTTCTAATATCTATCTGTCTCTAAAACACTCAAACATCTAGATCAGCGTCAACAAAATGAGGCACTGATAAGTACGTATAATACGATAGATGCTTTTCAATAGCAATAAATAATACGTCGATAGTTAAGCTATTTCTTCTTCTTCTGCATTGATGGAGCTTTCTATTGTTTAATAGTTCATGTTTTTTGTTTATTCACTTTGATATATTGTGTGAGCACTCATTTACAGTCATTCCTATATCGTCGTTTAGTAATATTATAGATTATAATGATTGAATAATTCTAGAAAAAAAGGTTGAACTGAATAAAATATTATCAAAATTGAGAATATATCACTGAATCGAAAAAGTTTATTTACTTAAAATTGATTGCAGATTCGTCTTCTCGATGGTCGATTATCTGATACGCGATAACTTTTGAATCTGAGTATTTTAGAAAAAAAGTTTCACATGGTCATGTTTAAAAAATTTTCAGAAAGTTCCTATCAGACTGTATGGATTAAAGGCAAAACGATATTGAAAATTTTTTTTTCTAAAGTATCCCGATCCAAAAGTTATCATATACTAGAATAATCGACCATGGAGAAGGCAATCAATTTTAATTAAACAAACTTTTAAAATTTTTCGATTTGATGATATGCTAAAACTTTTTTGTAGTGCCTTATCAGACATATTATCGATGCCAATTATTGAGCGTTTACATCTTCTAATAGAGACGAGGTGTTATAACTCATATTCCACCATCACCATTGAATTGAATTATTTGTTGAATCATTATGAGTTTTCGCACTTGAATAGGTGAAAAGGACGGGAAACGGTTTCTGCTAGAAAATGGCCCAATATGATTTTGAGTGAAAATGATCGAAAATGCTTCTCTTTTCACTTCCCAACACTTCCCACGTTCAAAAATTCCTTCTGGTGTCTTTCAAACAAAAATTACTTTTCATTTTTCGCCACCAGTTCAACAGAAGCCATTTACCTTCTTCCGCAAATTTCTCGTCCGATTTCAAAGTCCTTGAGCAAAACTCATACATAGTAACATAGAGAATTTTCTGGGCTTCAAAATAAGCTATAAACGAGGTTTTCCAAAATCTGCCCATACAGGAAAATTGTCGAAATACTAGAAAGATATCATCATTTTCACCTATCTTAGCACTTTAAAGGAATATTTCTTGAACTCATCTACTCAGAACCGGAATGTCTTATATATGAAAAGATAGAGAATTTTTCGGACTTTAAAATGAGCTATAAATAAGTCTTTCGAAAATATCCCCACATGGGTCAATAGTCGAAATACTTCTGAAAGACTTCTGAGGAAAATAAGACATCTGTAAGGTGTCTATAAGGCTTTTTCACGCAGTCGATCTACGAATGGCTACAAAGGGCGTGAAAAATACCAGAACATTTCTGTGATAAAGCCTTATAGACAGCTTGGAGATGTGTTATTTTCCTCAGAAGTCTTTACTCTATCAGGCTATATGGTTTGCAAAATTTTCTGACCAAAAACCAAGGACTTGGTTTTCTAGCGGTCAGGTTTTCCAGAAACCCTATTATCAACTTTTCTCATGAAACGGCGATATGCACCTCATCTGTTAGAAAAATCTTCGGGCTATCCAAAACAGTATTCAGATTGACCCCACCTTTTACCGAAAAATAAAAAACAAAGGAGTTCTTGTGATTATCACACACTGTACTACATAGATAACACCCAAACGCTTCTCTTCGATATTGTTAATGACTGGCCCAATCTGTCTGGATATTCTGACCAGCTCACTTTGTAGAGAATTTAAAGGGCTATCCAATGGTATGTTTTTGAAAAATATATAATTTTTTATTACGGCAGAAAAATGACTAAAGGTGTGTTTAACGCACTAAGTTAGGTGAAAATCATGACATCGGCCAAATATTTCGACTATTGACCCATGTGGGGATATTTTCGAAAGACTTATTTATAGCTCATTTTAAAGCCCGAAAAATTCTCTATCTTTTCATATATAAGACATTCCAGTTCTGAGTAGATGAGTTCAAGAAATATTCCTTTAAAGTGCTAAGATAGGTGAAAATGATGATATCTTTCTAGTATTTCGACAATTTTCCTGTATGGGCAGATTTTGGAAAACCTCGTTTACAGCTTATTTTGAAGCCCAGAAAATTCTCTATGTTACTATGTATGAGTTTTGCTCAAGGACTTTGAAATCGGACGAGAAATTTGCGGAAGAAGGTAAATGGCTTTTGTTGAACTGGTGGCGAAAAATGAAAAGTAATTTTTGTTTGAAAGACACCAGAAGGAATTTTTGAACGTGAGAAGTGTTGGGAAGTGAAAAGAGAAGCATTTTCGATCATTTTCACTCAAAATCATATTAGGCCATTTTCTAGCAGAAACCGTTTCCCGTCCTTTCAAATTTTTCTGTCTTTATACTTGTTGTATTTGACATGGAAAATTGAATTTATTTTACAGTTGTATTTATCTGCTCAATTTTTTTGTCTTTTTAACTATCAAATTTTTATAATTTTTGGCTATTTTAGAGGCTGAAAAATTATGCAGTAAATGTTCAGAAAAATTCAGTCAAGAAGGTTTAACAATTAAATTATTAACTGCACAAATGCCATTATTGGTGACATCATTAGAAGTATATTTAAAAAGAAATGATTGTAATATATTTCCATATTTTTCTTCTTTTATCTTTTTAGATTCTAAGTCGTTTAGCTGAAAAACACAATTCATTAGCCACGTACAGTATACGCGTACTATGTGATTTCTTAACTGAACCATCGCCATTACTATATAAATTATATCGTCATACAAGTGCTAAAATTGATGCAAAAGAAAAAGATTTGGTGCTAGGTGAAACAGTCAGAACATCAAAAGATTATCGAGCTTATCAAGTATTTGAAAAATTACGAGACGCAGCTATTGAAGGTTTATGCAAGTAAGAAATAGACAAAAAAACAAAAAAATTAAATTTAAAAAGAAAACTTTTTATATTTTTTTATTATTTTTTTCAATTTCTAGATTATTATTTATTCGACTAGAATCAGATCCAAAATGTGTTGAAGCTCTACTTGTGGCATTATCTGCTAGACTTGCATCTGGTCATGTTAATGATAAGTAAGATAAATTTTTATTTTGTTTTTGACATATAAGTGGGAAATTCTGACATTAGAGATCTTTAGACCTATTTTAACAATTCACGGGATATTTGATTATATTTACAAAGTATATAATTTTAATTAAAAAATGTTGAAAACATTTGAAATAGACAAAATGAACTTTTTATCTATGCCATAATTTCAGTTCAAATTGGATGTTTAATATTATATTACTTGACGCTGCAGCGTTAAAACATCGTGCATCAATTCGTCAAGGATTAGACAAAGATAAATATGAAACATTATTGTAAGTTATTTTTGATAATTGCACGTATTTATATTTATTATTATAATGATAAAAAATAGTATCATACTAATTAATCAATTGCTTGTTCGTTGTTATTTTTTTCACGCTTAACTACACAATTAATCGGGGTTTTGATATTGCTATCTATTGTTATATGTGTGTATTCACCAATGTTTGCACGTAATATCACATCTAAAGTGGAATTTTATCATTTTCACGTATTGAAGGCCATAAATAGAATATACTCAACGGGATAAAAAAAATGAAATTAAAATTTATACTACTACTAATCGTTGCTCTCTATTTGATTTCATCTTTTTTGTTTTTCTAATGATAATTGACTTTCTTTGGATGAATATAGTATTCTTATGCTTGATGAATGTTATTATCTTATTAATTGTAAAAACTATTTCTATCTTATACTTCGTCATCATTCTATATCAATATAGTGGACCATATCTTATGAATTTCCATATGATTTCAAAAATCAGTATTTTTCACATTATATTTGTTTTTCTATTTTTTGTTTCTTCATCATTTTGTTTTAAAGGCAAACATCATTAGTATCTCATAATACAATTTTAACACTTGGTCATATGTCAATAGCATTGAAAGATGTTCAACAGACTCAACAGTCAATATTGGCACGTTTTCAACAACGATTAGGAGATCCACCATCACCACTCGATATACTAATTATTAATCAAATTGGATGTATGCTTATATCAACTTTGGTAAGTTGTTATGTCATCAAAAAATTTGCAAAATTAATTAAAATATATTTCCTCGTATCATTCTTTTTTTTTTCAACTGAGTTAAGTCATCTGTTTTATATCAGTTTCTCCAAAGTCAAGATCTTCTTTAGATCAGTCCACTAAATATTAAAAATTTTGATTATCAATCAACATCAATCATGCATTTACAATTATTATCTTATCATTATAAAAGTTTACCAAAATTTCGTTTATTAAAAAAGCAACAAAAATATATTCATTCACTAAATCGACCATCTTCTTCTCTGCCGTGCTCAATTGTTAATAATAATTCATTTTTGATCCCGTTTATTATGAATAAATTTCATTTACTCACATATCAAAATAGTCATAATTATAATCCAAAAAAATGTCAACAACGACCATACTTGTCAATCAATCAACATCATCTATCATTATCACCCTCACATATAATATTTAAACGTTCACAGTTATTACCTCAATTTTGTAAAAGAAGACAAAAAGAATATCAAATAAAAAATGATTTTCAAAAAAAATCTTTAATGAGATCAAATAAAACAATCAAAACACGTTTTTGTGTAAATGATGTTAGTTTAAATGCGGTACTTCATATTTGAGCTTGCACTATAAACCTAAGTTCACTATTTTGCAATTTTGTTTATTTTGCTTTTGACATTTAGTCTCTCTTCCTCATTAGTATAAATTTTTTTTGTTTAATCTGTTTAGCCTAAAGCAACTTACGATGAAATTATTGGACTTTTCACTGAAATTATTATTGACTCAACTTATAATTCGTATCCAACGACGAATGACAGCACAACACAAAACACTACAGTAATAATAAAATCTCATCATGCAACGACATATAAGTACGTATCTCTTATAAGAATATAAATATCTTTCTAATTTATAATTGATTGTTTTACAGACAAGCACCGAATGCTGTCATAAATGCCTTGGCGAATATTGCTGCAAATATTCAAGGTGAACCAGAATTAACAAATTTATTAACAAGTATACTCGAATTATTTATTCAATTGGGATTAAAAGCAAAAGAAGTTAATGAAAAATCGACAAAAAACGCTCTGAAGGTACAAAAAGAAAATTATATTGATAATTCATTTATTTTATTTTATTTTTTTGTCTCTTTGTTCTTGTAAGGCTTCTAATACAGCTGGTAGCCTTGGAGTACTTATTCCAGTGATTGCTGTCATTATGCGTCGTATACCAGTGATAACAGAACCTACTGAACGTTTACGTCGTTTATTTCGACATTTTTGGTTTTATTGTATATTGTTTGGTTTCGCCGATTCAGATAAAGGTTTGTTTGTTCACTCGTTTGTTTAATTCATTCTTCTTTAAAAGTATTTTCTATCTATATTTTAGGTTTATGGTAAGTGATAAACTCCTTTAGATTATCAACTAAATTTGTCTAATTTTTTTTTTCTATCATATTAGGCCATCTGATTGGCATGATTGTGTATGTTTGATAGCAATAAAATCACCAGTACTCGTTGGTGCAAATTCGCCAAATATATCGTTAAAAAGCACAATGCTAATGAAAGGTGATCAAATTACGAAGGTAAGTAAAAGATGTACATGATATAATATTGATTTTTTTATACCATATAACATTTTTGTTTTAGGAAGATAATTCTGAATTCAAGTTGAAATTAAATAACATATTTTCATCATATTCAACAGCCAAGTCTTATATTGATCGTTTTGGTTTTGAGCAAAGTTCATATATATTATCTGTTTATTTTTTGGAAACTTTAAGGTATGATGTCAATACATATTATCTCATGTCTAGTTCAACATATCATCATACATTTTAAAGAGTTCGTCATTCAACTGATCCAGCAGCATTTCAATGTATATTTTCGTATTTGGAAGATCCTTATTTATTGAAAGATAAATACGGTAGATTAGTCTTGCACTTTCTTCTATCTGTTCACCTGAATATTATATACGTTGTTCAGGTCTATGGACATTGGTAACAGCTGTAGGAAGAAAAATGTTTGAACTTTATGTAAATGAAATGAAGAAAATGGTAAGAATATTTTTTCAATAAATCATTTCATCTAAAATATTTTCTCAATTTATTTATTTTTAGCCAAAAAGTCCTGAACGTAACAAAAATCTTGAAATTCAATGTCAATTTTTAATGGTTAAACGTACACATGTACGACAAGTTGTTCGAGATGAAGCTAAAATATATTTACACACTTTGTTGTTAAAAAATTCGTAAATTATATTTTTCTCATTTAAAGATTTTTTTTCTATAAATACATTTCTCTTTTAGATTTCCACATTTATTCTGTAGTTCAGTTGTTATTGAAACATTGATGAATATTATTAATATATTGTCTTATTCAATGAATGAGGATGATTTACATAAAGTAACAGCACGCCATGTTGTACCAGATACAACATATGCAATAGAATTTGTTGATACTGGTGAAAGACGACAGGTTGGCATGCATTGTTTCTTTCGACCTATTTTTAATTAATTGTATTCTATTATTTAGGCATTATTTAACGATTTCTATATATTTGGACGAATGTTTGTCGAACAAGCACTGGTTTTATCTCCTACATTAATGAAATCTTGTATTCAAGTATGGACGATAACCGATCTTGTTTTTCTCTTATACGTAAATTATTATCTATTTTAGCAATATATGTTAAAACTAGGTGGTATGAGGAAAAATTCATCAGTATCTCGACAACATAAAGGTTTACATGTTATGTGGGAATATTTGAGTACACATTCGAAAAATGTTGATGGAGTGAGTATAGAATTTATTAACAACTATTGTATACTAATTGAGGAGAACATATATTTCTATTTTAGTCATCGACAAATAGTCAAAAGATAGTATATAGAACAGATTTTGCCGAGTATATGGTATCTGTTGGTGAACGAAGTGCTGCAGTTGGCTTTGTAAACAAGACAAATAAAAACTGCATAATAGAAAATATACATCATTTATATTGTTATAGGTCGAAGGTCTTAATCGAACAGAATATCGTACAGCATTAAATCAATTAAAAGATCAAATAGAAAATGCACTGAATAGTCGAATGGCATCTTTAAATAAATATAAACTATCACAACAACGAAAACGGCGAATGTCGTTTGTAGCACCAATTAATGATAAAGGCATAGCACTCGATTTTGAAGAAAGAATAGCAATATGTGAGTGTATAATTCAATCAAAATACATAGTTATCTATTTTTTAAAATATTCTGTTTTATATTTTAGTTGATAGTGATTTTCGTAATGGTCTATTTAAAATAACAGCAATGTTAATAAATAATTATGACGACAGCAGCGGTATATGCGTTTATCTATGTTTACTCTTCTATAACTGACTTTATTCTATGGTATTTTATTTAGACGATAATCCTGATTATGAACTTCGATTTACTTCAACTAGTGGATACATAAATTCGAATAATCTCAAAAAAGGTATCAAAAATGATTATTTCACACTTAATTCGTATTCTCATTTTAGCTTAAGAGTATATTTTACTGTTTTATTAGAAAATCCACTTGATCGCGATATGGTACACATTCTAACGTGGTTACCAGTTAAAATGTTTACAGCGACTGTTATGGAAGCGGCTATTGATTGTTGGTGTTGGGCTATTGTTGCACGACCCGAATTAGAACTATTAATTGTTGAAGAAATTTATAAAGTATGGGAAAAAATCATTAGTGATCGTCATGGCCTGTATTCTGTTGATACACATGAACCATCACCATTGGCACCATCAGAAAAAGATCAATTAAAACCGTGTCCGCCTATGGTTCGTCCACATCGAATATTTCTTAAGGTATTTATGATAATAGATAATATAATATAGAAATAAATAAAATATGTGTATTTCACTTGCAGTTTATTGAAGAACGTATTTATTTATGTATGCATAAAGCCGATTTAGAAATGGAAATGTTAGTTGATCTACTACATAAGTCATTATCATTGTTATTAGAAAATAGAAAAGCTCAAATGACAAAACATGTTGGAGCAGTTGGATTAAGATTTCAGTATGTATTCTCAAAATATCTATTGTGTATCTCATTCATTTACTTCTTTTTTTTTTCCTAGATTTCTTTATTTGGCTTTGTATCTGGTTCAAAGTAATTATTTACCAAATGGTATTTCTAAATATTTATTACGAGAGAAAATTTATCATACAGCATTTGATTATTTTACGTATGTTATTAATTCATACATTTAACTAATCTATATAGAATTGAATTAAATTTTATTTTAAGTGTTCGTCATCATTGTCCAACACAAAATCATAATGAATTGCGCGATGATATTCGAACATTAATTAAATTTTTTTCACTTGTACATGGTGAAAAAAAATTTTGTAATGAAATGCCATTAACAGGTATATAACGTTTTAGATTAAAATCGAAAAAATTATGTTTTTACAATTAGTTTTTTGATTAGTTGAACTTGGTAATTCAATACCAAATGGTTTAAATAATAATGATGTTAATGGAGCAATGGAAAATGCAAGTGTTTATGCAACAATGAGAGGAGCTCCAGCTGGATGGATTAATACATTTGCTGGACCAACGGTAGCTGTCTTGAGTGGTGCACATTCAACACTTAGTCGAAAATCTGGTCCGTTTAGACTAAAATAAATGAAAGAATTTTAATTATCAAATAATTGTCATATTTTTTAGCTGCATCTGGTAAACACACTGAACGCAGTAATGATGCACGAGCTTTATCAAAAGATTTACTTAAAAAAAGAAATCTTCTTTTAACATTACTGGCATGTATCTAATTGTTGTTATTTTTTGTCTTTTTTTGTCTAATTTATTATAAAATTATTTTTAGGCATATGAAATAGAACGTCTAGAAACATTTCATAATCCACTAGGACGCACAGAATTACAATTTGAACCAGAAATATTATCAACGTATACGAATTGGAAGTTATACGATATTGTCGGTTTTACGACTAAAGCATGGCACGATTATGCACGTTTAGCATGGTTAATAGCTCCTGATCTAGCAATTACCATGTATTATAGGTAAATTAATTTGATAAATAATTCATAATTCGTATCATTGATCATCAAAAATATTTTATTTTTTTAGTGTACCAAAAGAACCATTACGTCAAGAAATAATGCGTTTAGTCAAAACTTATCCGGTACAAGTTCGTCACATTCCAGAAGCTTTGCATATATTTACATTGACATCTGATAATGATAAATCGTGTGAAGTAAGATATATGAAGTAGTTATTTTATTTTATTATTCTTCATAGATAAATGTTTTCATCTTTTAGACTGCTCATATTTTAACATGGGCTCAAATAAGTCCTATAGCGGCCTTGTCTTATTTTGCTAGTGCAAGATTAAATCAAGTAGCAAATTCGTACACGATACAGTATGCGTCTCGAATGCTTTATGTTACAAAGCCGGTAAAATTTATCTTATCTTGTTAATTCCTATTCCTATATGTTTTTATTTATATATTTAGGAAGCACTTATTCTCTATATTCCACAACTTGTACAAGCTGTACGTTATGATGAGGTAAAGTATGTGTGACTGCTCTATATTTTTACATCATTTTTATTGTTTTACATATTTAAACTATTTAGATGGGATTTGTTCGTCGTCTTATATTAGCTTTATCTAAAAAATCAAATTTGTTAGCTCATCAGTTAATATGGAATATTCGTACAAATACATTTAAAAATGAAGATACACCAGATGGTAAATAACAATTCTATTCTAAATATTAATAGTAAACTAGAATAATTATATATATTTACTCTAGAAATGATGAAAACAAAGTTAGAACCAATAGCAAAACAAATTGAAATCGATTTTACACAAGATGCTAAACGTTTTTATGAGCGTGTATTTGATTTTTCAAATAAATTAACAAAAGTGTCAGATATAATTAAGTATGTTTGAATTCTTTTTAGTTTATCAGTTTAAAATATAATTTTATTTTGTTTTATAGAGACTTTCCAAAAGGCAATTCTCGAAAAGAAGGTATCTATCTATTTTACGTTTAAAGAATTTTATACATAGTAAATATTAAATTATTTTATATATTTTAGTTTGTATCCGAGAATTGAAAAAGATAGGTACCGATGCACCAGAAGGTGTTTATCTTCCATCAAATCCCGAAGCAGTCATTATTTCATTAATGCCAGATAGTGGTGCACCAATGCAGAGGTATAAATTGTGTCATAGTTCTTTAAATATTTTTAAATTTATTTGTTTTTCTGTAAATAAGTGCTGCAAAAGCACCCTATAGAGCAACATTTCGTGTTCAAACTGTGGGCATTGAACAAGTTGAACAGTGTGCTAATGAAGATTATGAATTAATACCAGATTTTGCTAATCAATATGCACAAATGGCCATTTTTAAAGTTGGTGATGATGTTCGACAAGTAAGAAAATAATCAAGAATATTTATTTTTTAATTATATTTTCTTTTTTACTTTAGGATATGTTAGCATTACAATTGATGCGTTTATTTCAAAATATATTTCAACAAGAAGGTCTCGAATTATTTTTATATACTTACAGAGTTATTGCAACAAGTCCAGGAGTATGTATTTTTATTTTAATAAAAGAAGTTAATTTAATTCTATAATTGTTTGTAGATGGGCGTCATTGAATGTGTGCCAAATGCTCTTTCACGCGAAGATATTGGACGAAATACAGAAGTTGGTCTATTTGAGTATTATCGACATGTTTACGGAAAAGCAGATTCAGCAAAATTTCAAAATGTGAGTAAAAATACTGCTATTGCAATAATTCCCATTGAGTAATTTGTTGTTCTATTATTTTTTCTTTTCAAGGCTCGACGAAATTTTGTTATATCCATGGCTGGCTATTCTATAGCTTTATTTATGTTACAAATAAAAGATCGACATAATGGAAATATAATGATCGATAGTGAAGGACATATTATTCATATTGGTAGAATATACTCTATCTATATTTTTCTCATTTTGTTGTTTTTTTCTTTTATTCAATTGTAGATTTTGGTTTTATGTTTGAATCTTCACCCGGTGGAAATATGGGATTTGAACCAGACATTAAACTGACAGCTGAAATGATTTTGATTATGGGTGATTTGACGGCACCTGCATTTCAATGGTTTAAAGAATTGTGTATCAAAGGTTATCTGGCATTAAGGTAATAATTTATCCAGTTTTAACTTCACTATTAAAAAACAGAAAAAAAAGAGAGAATATTTGATACATCGTGTTTACTAATAATAATTATTTTAAATCTTTTCTTTTAGACCATATCGTCATCATTTTCAAACATTAGTTGCTCTTATGTTGGATACGGGTTTACCTTGTTTTCGTGGTCATACATTAGAACAATTGAATGCCAGATTTAAACCAGATGCAAGTGAAGCAGAAGCAGCTCGTTATATGCATGATGTTATTAATCGTTGTGCACACAGTCTAAGAACACGAGTCTATGATATTATTCAATGGTATCAAAATCAAATACCATATTGATCTCATTTCTTTTCGACGTTTTAATATCAGTGTCATATCTTTTTTATTCTTCATTTATATATATATATATATATATATATATATAAATGTGAGCCTGCGAACGTGATAATATTTTTCGTAGATAATATTTTTTAGTAAAGGTTATACTTTGAAATATATCGATTGGTTGTTGTTCTTTTTTTATAACAAGAAATTCTTTGTTTTCTTTTTTTTTAATGTTTGAATGTGTATGTGATATATAGATATAATTTATTTTTTTTGTATTTATATAGGTGAAAAGAGAGATTAAAGAGAAAAAGAATGAACAATAGTCTTTTACTATTAAACGTTGAGGAAAAGTGGCGCAAACGTGAACTGTGAAGTCGTCAAATCCAACTTGAAAATTACTTTCGTATGAGGAAATAAATGAGAGCTATTAGCTATTCCATTAAACAAATTAGACATACAGTATTGATCAAAAGTATATATCCCTTTAGAAAGACACTTAGAAATAATCCTATACTCGCTCGCTATCCTATGTGTGCATAGTGCAAACCAAATGCGGATCATAAGACTTGATCTCCCGTTATTTGACTGTATCGGTCAGACGATATGTGCGTTTCACCATTTTGAACCTATAGAAGGAAAAATATCTTCTAACCTTTATCGAACGCCTCTTTATTTCAACTTTATCTACCGTACGAATGGTTTGTTCAAACTCTCAGTGATTATAGAGTTATGGGTCCTAAGTCAACTTTGATATGTTAATAAAAATATCTTAATTAACTATAATATTAGAATAACATTGACAATTCATGAACATTATTTCTGTACAAGAAATTTCTAAAAATATTCTATACGTATCACTGTAGACAAGACAGAATTACCTATGTTGCAGAATTTCACCGATATTTGTCACTTTAAGAGTCATTGTATGGAAAGGACGACCAATTTTCTTATGTGTTGCTCATTCGATGCTGGAATTTGGACTCACACTTTTAGCGTGGATGCAGACAACACATTTCGTAAGAGTCTCAAATTTTTTTTGTTCCGAGAGTATTTTCTTGATACCAGAGCTAGACTATTTCTCGTAAAAGCTCTAAAAGTCATCCAAAGTGTCGCCTATAGAAATTTGCAGGTTTTTTAGGCGTCATATCTCAGTCTAGGAAGTCGATCAAGAGTTCATACTTGCAGAATAAGCAGTCGAGATCGAATACTATCGGTGTCCAAAAATATCTGACTACGCTTGAGTTCTACTGCACAGGAAAACTGCTACTCAATTGAAATTTATAACGTCCATTTGAAGAAGACCGTTCAATGACAGACCATCCCAAAATTGAGAAACAATGAAATGGAACATTTTAAAAATTAAATTTTCGCGTCCGACGGAGTTGGTTATAGAAAAACTGTTGAACTTGAATTTTTTTAAAGAATCACATGTAGATAAGCAAAAAATGAGATTCTCTTTTAAGAAAATCAACGTGTACCTTTTCTCCTTCGTTTTGAACGAAAAAATCTGACGTCTGATATCTGGGAGTTTTCTTCTAATTTCTTATGAAGACCTTTGAGTTGACCACCCTGTTCCTATACGAATGTACGTGTTGCTATGATGTGACGAATGTTCGTACAGGAAGAATGCAAGATGAGAATCATCCTATATGCACCACTGTTTCTGTTTTATTTATAAAAAATTCATCAAAGTTGCTATCAACAGCATTTTTTAATGAGACTGCTGATCAAGGTGTACATCAACAGTTTACCTCCATATTTCAACTTATTTATTTAGCCTTCTTTAGGGTGATAATAAAGTGTATCCTACGTTTATCATTAAGAAAAGGTTTTATATTTTTATTAAGCATTAAGAAGTATGCTACAAATAAATAATATGTTACTTGTATAAAGAAAAATTCAGGCATGTTTGCACATATAATGAGAAAGAATAAATCAGTAACGACAACGAGATAGTCGAACAAAAAATATAAACATTGACCAATCAAGGTACAAAAGAAATGATTTTTTGACTCGAACATAGTTTTTAATGTGTCGTACATTGCGTTGCTGACTAAATTGAATGGAAGATCGATATATTTCACCAGAAATATGTGTGAGAGAAATTGTCATTTGTGCATTGCTTAACGATGTTGTTTTAAAAAACTGTAACATATGCATTAATAAATTTATAATGTTTTTCTACATACATACACGTATAGGAGTACAATATAAACATCAGAAAATAGTGAAACACATAATTATATAAAAGTAGTTGCGACGGTAAAAAAAGAAAAAGACAAATAACTGTCACCCGACACAAATCGTGACTATATTCATTCCTATATGATAAAACAATGAAAATGAACTTGCCAATTTTATTCATTCTCATCGAATATTCTCTATTCAAAAAGAATAAATTTAAGATATTAAAGTTAAACTACTTCTTTGTATTTTTTGTTGTTTTAACCGTTTTGTACACCCATTCCAAACCGGTCTAGAAGAAACAAACAAAGTAACATATAACTGAAATATGCCTATTAAACAACTCCTTTTTTAAACTAATTGATTATAATAGTGCTGCATTGAATCAAGTCTATTTCCGATCAGGGGAAGGAGGACTGGTCCGTCCCTAAAAACTTTGTGAATTTTCCGGCAAAATCTTTGACGTTTTTCCGCAAGCAACTTTCTGTCAAAAATTTCTAAAATGTTTTTTCGCCAGCCACTCCTGTCCAGCAGAATGGCAAAAAAGAGAGCATTAGAGATACTAGTGGATATTACATCTAATATTTACCTTAACTCCTTCTTGCGTGTAAGCCGAACATCCTTGAATTTGCCATGCTCTATCTCGTATTGTATATAATGCTAGCCCATCGGTAATCTCAGAAGATGTTGCGGCATTTAATAAATCTTGTTTATTAGCAAATATAAGTAATGGTACATTCGTCAATTTTTCGTCGGCTAATAATTCAAGTAATTGCTATTATTAGAGTAAAAAAAATTGATTAAAATTTTCTACAAAATTCCTTTATATGATAGACCTACTTCACTGGTTTCTGGAAAACGTTTTTTATCGGCACTATCAATTACATAAATCTAGAAATAAATAATTATTTTTAAACAGGAAACCGCTAATGCTCTTTACTTACTACTACGTCCGTATTGTCAAAATAATGTGGCCAATAGCCACGAATTCTTCTTTGACCACCTAAAGAGAGAAGACTACGTAAACGTAAAGTAAACAGATTGTTTAGAGAAAAAAAACACATACCGATATCCCACACATTTAATTTAAATCCATTTGATGCTACACTTTTGATATTGAATCCCTAGAGGAAGAGAGAACATGAAAGTTTGCACAAATAGAAACAGATAAGACTTACCGTTGCTTTATATAGATAATCCGAACACTTCGGACCTCAGTGAGGTCGTATTATGTATCCGGAAAGAGTTAAGTTAAGTGTGCTGCTTTAAAAAAATGACTGGACTTACTGTTACTACTTACTGGAGTTGGTGTTATATTAGAAATATCTTCTGCTGCAAGCACTTTAAGCAGTGTGGTCTAGAATAGAAATAGAGGGATTAGATAATCAATTCCATTTTATGTTCAATAAAATAAATCCCTACTTTTCCAGCATTGTCCAAACCAAGTAATAAAATTCTCAATTCTTCTTGAGGAGTTGAACGTAGTCGCCTTAATAAATCGAGCAAACCCTAAAATTATAAAAAAATAGATAAATTTTTAAAAAATCAAGGAGAAGAATGTGCTTTTAGGTATGTTTCTATTTCAATTTTGATTTAAAAACGGGAAAATCAATCAAAATCAAGTTAGCAACATAACAGTTAGGAAGAAAATATATACAACCATTTTCTTTCAATCGATGCTTTTTTACTTCGCAAAACGAAGTTTGAATCTGCAAAAAAATACAAAAAAGTTAATTGGTCATTATAAATACTAATGTAAAGTGTAAAAAATAAAACAAAAATGAGAACAAATATCATTCGCGCACATATATTTGTAAGAGCGAACTCTCGAAACCCAGTGAAAGATATCGTATAATAGTTGCATGAGTTGAATTTTCGAAAGCAAAATGCGATTTTTTTTCTAAAGTATAACCGCAACCTTTTTTTCAAGAATAAACTCTTTCTATACCAAAAAATTTTACCAGACAACGTTTAATTTATGCTATAATCTCTCACGACTATTAATATGTCATGAGGGAGAGTACCAAACATTTGCTAATATTTTAGCCATCGTAAATCAGCAACTTTTTTTTCAAGAAAAACTCTTTTTATGCCAAGAAATTTTGCCAGGTAGCGTTTAATTTATGCTGTAATGCGCTGTACTATTAATGTGTCATAAGGGAGAGTACCAAACATTTACTAATATTTTAGCCATTATTCAGTAGGTTGATAGGGAAGCCTGTACGTTACTATGCAGAAAAATTCGCCTACCCTTAGGCTCCGTTAAAGAAACAGCATTTTCTGTTTGATAAATTTAAATAGAAAGAGAGAAAAAGGTCAGACAGAATTTCGAGTACAGTATTGTGCATAAAATAACCATATTCTCTGTACTTTTCATAGAAAAATATTGTCGCTACTCTACTGAGTTGCTTGAACTAATGATCAATGCTCATTGATGTTTGATACGTTCGTTTCTGATCAATTATAGCTGAGTCGACTTGTTTTGGAGGATCGGAAGCCACCGCTAAATCGAGATGACTGTCTAATCGAGACAAGACCAACGATGATGCAGAAGAGAGATTCGAACCATGAGACACATTTGACTCTCTGGACATATGCGTACCAGCAGACATTGCGGATCGTTCAGAACTAGCCGATTTTGACCCTTCTTCCTCAACATCCGTTTTTCGTTTTGCTATTAAACCATAGTACCACATCATACATCCGACTAATAATCCCAACAGCAGAAGACCACCAATCAGCGATAATGTCAGATATAACCAATTGATTGTCGGTTTATGTTGTTCAAACGCTTGTGGACCGTCGGCTAAAGGAAAAGTTTTCAAAATTCATGTTTTTCAACATTTGGTTTTAGATAAATCAAACAATGCTTATGGGAATATATCATCCACTTCTTTTTCAAGTTTACTAACAGAAAATAACCTGTAGTTGCTCGTGACTTTTGAGGCGAGATTGAATTCGAATACGTACAATCAAATATAGCTTCGGTTGTTACTACTTACAACAGCCTCGTGTGGTACTATTTGTAAATAAAACCACACATGTGTTACTCGATTGATTAAGCGATGTTACTGCTTGAAAACAGACATCTCCTCGAAATGAACAAGTGGGACTTTCTTGAGGTTTGTAGGTAAATAATCGTGTAACTTGTTGTTTAAATCTTGGATATTGAATTATTGGACCGCTAATAATATCTTCTGTACCAGTAACGTTTAATGAGACGATTGTTTCATTGAAACAGTCAGCTGTCGCTGTAATATTAAATCGCATTCCATTTGTGTCAGAGATAAAATATTCTTTTTGGAGTTTTATACCAGAAAGTATGTAAGGTGCAGAGCTACACGGGGCAGCGGCTCCACCGAGAAACATAATCTGAATTGGTACAGAACTAAGGGGTCCTATAAGAATTCGAGAAACTCATTTGATAACCATATTCATTACATCCCAAACTCACCATCACCAGAGCTGGTGTCAAAATCTTCCACAAGAATAGAGACTGTTCTCGAATGTCCGGCAGCAGAGATGCTATTATATCGGATTGTACAGTTAGGCCATAAATTTCCAAGAGAGATGAAGGTAGAGGCATTGTATCTATCACTTGTTGCACACAACTAGCAAATAAATATATTTTAATAGCTTTTAACAAGGAACAGAAAATGTTTTTAGTAAATTTAAACCATAGCATCTAGAAGCCACAGCATAAAACGTACGCTCCTTAAGATATAATTTTTAGAAAATCGAACACAATCATTTCCTTCGTATCACTATTCTTATAATTATGTGATATTTATATACTGCAAATGTCTGTCACATTTAAATCAATCCACCTACATCACTTGAATCAGTACATTCTGCTATATTCCAATACGAGTTGTTTTTAGTAAATCTACATTGAATTTTGTCACCATCAATATCGGTTATATACTCTTGCAAATTAATCCACAAAGGAACCCCAACGTTCTGAAAGATAATTAAAAATCCATATTATAAGTCGGAAAACACATGAGAAATACATCCTCAATTGTCCCTAAGTATTTAACTCAGAAAACAGTTGTTATTAGTTGCATACAACACACTTGATCCTCTGAATGTTACAAATGACTTTATTAATGATTTTAGTGGAATGAAAAACGTCCTAGAGTTGCAGCTTCTCAATACAAGTGCGCAGCGCTAAGATGTAATATGCATAGTCTAGGTCACAGTTTTAGAACATTATAGAATACCAGTAGAGGGTTACTGTGCATGGATGTCGTGCTCTATGGCAAAGATAATACTTCTTGGTTGATATCGGGGAAGGCTGCTGTCAACAAGCGTCTATTTCAATGTACTTGACCAGAGATCAGCAACAAGAACAAAACTGGTACTTACTACTTTCATAAATGGTCTTCCTGAATAGCGAGGCGAATTATTCAGTCGAGTTCCAATCGTTGTTGTATTCACATAGAAAGCAATAGTTACATCTGGTTTTGTATTACTCCACCACTAAATCACGTATGAATGGAAAGTGTGAGAGATCACATGACTGAAAAGGGCTATAGTATTGACATATCAGCAAGATTTAGTCAAACACGTAACCGTCTCATACGACTTACACAACATGTTACTAATTTATAGAAATAACTTTTATTCAGTGGTAACAATATTTCTTGGATTCTATTTCCACCAGTCTCTAGGTAAAAGTTGCTGCTATATTCACAATACGCATAAACATTTGGAATACTAGGACATGGTTGTCCCGTTTCAATATCAATACAGTCAAATGACATCAGATTTTTTCTTGTCGATACTGGTAAATGAGTCGAATTCCCGTCAATAAATAAATATGGCTGACCTGTTGTTACTTCGATTTCTTCTAGTCTCGGACAGGCATTAAAACCATCATCTGTTCCAATTGCAAAGTTGTAATATATCTTCGCAGATACCTGCGAACCAACACGATTTAACTCATAATGAATGTTTAATCCTTGTAAAAAAGTCATATGCTGGGACGCTAAAGAATGAAAACTCAAAGATAGCATAGATAGTTTAAATTGTAGTGCCATAATAGTGTACATTATACTCTTATCAAATTATAGTTAGCGCTTATTAATAATATTGATACTAGTGATACATTCCCACTTTCTGATACTCAATTGGATGCCTTGACAACAGCGGCGCTTTTATATTGAGATAACTAAGAAGCATTCTTCATTGCATTATTATTATACATTATTCCTCCTAGGCTTTTGGAAAAACTAAGCTATAATTTGAATTTTGATAGAAGCAGACCTCATATTTGCGAATGGCAGGTACAGTAGTATGAGATAATATGAATTGGTAATCTTTTCTTCCAAACACTGATTAAATACTATGCCATCTGCAGATAGTGGAATTTATACGATCTTTTCATCACTCGATAGGCAGTCGCGCGCGTTGACCACAAAACGGTGAGAACTGCAGGTTGCTATTAATAACCTTTCTCAAAAATTTATTCCGAAAATTCCTTATACCATAACATGTAAAAATATTTTTTGGATAGCTATTTCATTCAATGCTCCGTCATCAACACTCTAAAAAAAATGTGACTTAGGATCAAGTTTAGTCACATTAATGTGTCTTCTTCTTCTCATAAATGACACATTAATGTGACTAAACTTGATCCTAAGTCGCATTTTTTTAAAGTGAATAACCAGTCTATAATTATTTTCTAAATGCAAGTTTCACAGATACTTAGAAGACGATAACCAGTTATTGGATGCCAAAAAAACGATTTCGTCCATAACTATGAAACTGCTTGAGGGATTTCTTTGAGTAATATTTCCTTTAATAGGGCAGATAGTACTTAACAAAACAGAGTATTCAGTTGATCAGAAAGTATGGTTTGCTTCCGTTCGTTTATAATCAAAAATACTGACAAAATATATTATTTGGAAGATACGAGTTTTTGCAATATTATTTGTAATTTTTTGGAATAGTCTGCTTAATCCAGATATTTTATTGTGCATTTTGTTGAACAAACTGCACTATATTTTTACATGCTATTGTTCTTGGTTCTTTGATTAAGGCTCTTTTATCAATTTTAACTGAGCATTTCGAATCTATTTTTGCATCGTTGTACATACTTAATATAATATGTAACCTATCACTACTCTGTTGAAATATATTTTCCAGTATGGAATAAAGATTCAATTATGTTGCAAACATATTCTTATTTTTGTGTACATCTGAGTGTTTCTTCTTTTTTCATGCAGAATATTTTTTATTTAATTAACCATATTTTCATTTCTGCTGTATTGTGCGTTAACTTCTATCATGTTTAATTTAGTTTACGTTATTATTGTTATTAATGGTCTCATTAAGAATATGTACGGTGCTTCGGTACTGGATACTGGTAAGAGAACAACTAAAAAGCATAAAACTTACTAGTTTAAGCACAGAATATTCTGACCATCAAGGGTTAAGCAATAATTATCGATTGTAGATCGCACAGAGGCGATTATTTCGACATGCTTCGATTAATTATCTATGATACAAGAACTCATAGGCATAACTACGGGGGAGGGGGGAGGGAGGAGGGTATTGGACCACGGCCCAATGCGATTTGAGTATTGGCCCAAAACGAAACATCTTTTGAGTGTTCGGCTCAAAGCTTCTCCTTCGGCAGATACTCTTAGTTAACATATGTTTACATTCACTGCGATCCAGAGGCGTCTGTCCTGTGGGACGTTTGAGGCACAATGCTTCAAACAAAAGTAGTTGGGACGCTGTTTTGATGTTTCATTTTCCAGCTGATACACTGAAGGCTCAAACCTCTGAGATGATACAAAAGGCCTCTGATGCTCAGGTGGGGATAGACGCCACAACAATTTGTTGCGGTTTCGTAGACAATTTTTTGTTCCATTCGAATTGATGAGTTTTATCATGCGCATGTTAAACTTTGCCATTGAAACTCATTTCATTCAAAACTGTAAACTTGAAGGAAATATTTTCTGTACGAAGCACGTTGTTCGACAAGTGACGAACGTCACTTTTTGGAGGACTTTTAGCAAAATGATGGAAACTTTACAAGACTACCTACTTTCAAAAATGTTTAAGTGCGAAAGCGAAGAAGAGAATTTTTAAAAGTTAAAAGCAGTTTTTTAATGGAAGTGGACCAACTTTAGAAAAACCTATATTTGCTATATAAGGTCGTGAAGAGTCCAAAATCTCGAAAAAAGCCATCATTTAATTTACCTTTTAGACTCTGTACACCAAACAATTTTGCTTTATTCAACGTTTCGTTGGGAGAAAAGACATCGCAAAAATGACATCTTTTGTTTCCTCGTTATTTCAGACAAAAAAGATGTTTTGCACCACTCTAGAATATCATATGTAGGATAAAAGTTGGCAACTAAACAAATCTATTTCTTCATCAATAGATAACTCAACCAACAGTGATAACAATACCATAACAACACCAACAGTAACATCACCTGTTGCAAGTATAACGCCATGCTGCAATATGCTTACGTTCAATTATTCTTGTGCACAATTTTTTTCAACTCTATTTAGTAACAACGAAGCCGTTTGGAATAACAACAAAAACATCAACACCAAATCTATTCATGTCGAGTGTGACAATGTATGGTATGTCTTTAGGTGCCGCCATTGACAATGAAATTAACAATAATGTGATCTTTGCCAACAGGCGCAACGTTCACAACAAGTAGTGGAACATTACCTCTCGAAGCAACCACACATACTGGTTCTAGTGCGAGCCGAGCAACAACAAGTATTAGTTCTAGCGTATCAGGTAATACTGACATAGTTTACACAGTCTTCATTAGTGCGGAGTGATCGTTACACAGTATAGCTTTGCATCAACTATAAAATTTTCTGTAGCGAACCTATTAATTAGAATTATCGCCATTTACCTTCCAATCAACAGTCCCTTCGAGCGACAATGCACCACCGGAATATGGATGTTTAAACCAGCTAAAAGGTCTGAATTAGAACAATGGACAGATGTGCCGGAAAGCAATACTATTCGAATAACATCTGTAAATATCTTTTCTGTCATTTACAATCAGAAAGGAAGAGAATTCAATATTATTTTGCATGTATTAACAGGCATTATACCAGCACAGTGGAACGTACGAATGTCACGGAAATAATGGTGTTAGTGAAACATTTGAGCTTGTCGTGGTTCGTAAGTATTAACAATCGATTTATATACATAACAACGACAACTCGCAGAAATTCTGAGATCAAATAAATATTCGAACCTACGAGGCCTTTTTTTCTAAATTTATCGCGTTATAAATTATAACACAATAGAAAAGCTAACACATTACAAGGCATTACGATATACCTAACGCATTATAATGCAATAAATACGAAAAAAAGGCCTCGTAGGTTCGAATATTTATT